TCTCTCTCTCTCTTTCTCTTTCTTCTTCCAAATTTGTTTATGTGTATGAGTGTTTTGCTTGCCTGTGTGTTTGTGTACATGTGTGCCTGGTGCCTGTGGAGGGTGGTGGGATCTCCTGGAACTGGAGTTATGGATCGTTCTGACTCACCACGTGGTTGCTGGAAACTGAACCCTGGTCCTCTGCAAGAATACATTCTTAACGCTGAGCCATCCACCTCTCCAGCCCCAACTCCAGTGTACCGGCCCCAGATCAGCTGCTCTTTTTAAATTCAGCAGCTATCTTTTGTCTCTACTTCTTTAGAATAGGTCAGAACTTAAGTTAGTGTCTAGAGATTTGGGGGGCCACTTGAGCCTCAGGGCGTGATGAGCTGAGATGTGGCCTTGGCCCAGGTTTCCCCCAAGTGCACAGAAGGAAGTGAAGCTTTGGATCTGGGAGAGTCAGGGACGAGGCCAGGGAGGGTAAGGAGAGGGAGGATGCTCTTGGGAGGAGAAGCCATGAGTGACCAAAGGCAAGCATTTCCTGGAGGGAGGCGCTGGTGCTGAGTGATGCCAGCATTGCCGGCCAGGGGCCTCTCAGGTGGCTCTGGTGCCAGGGGCTTCAGTGCTCACAGTGGCCCCCTTCACAGCACGGCTGTACACCTTGCTGCCAGTCCTGATCAGTGCTCTACCTATGCCCAGCCCCTGCTCCAGGGGACATTGCACCGGAGAGGCCACCAATCACGTCCCCACCCCACCCCCACCACAGGGTGGTCCGTCTTTACCTCATCTGTGCTGGTGTCCCACCGGTCACTCGATCTTTCTCCAAACACTCCCTTTCCAGGGCTCCCCCACAGTCCTCAGAGCTGGGACCTTGGACAACTTTGGAGATGTGTTTTCCAAGGGTCACTCCATGCTGATACTCTGGGTCTGGACTTTCCAGCTCCAGATCTCACAAGCACCCCAGATTCAGAACATCTCACCGTTCATCCCTTTCCACTTGGGAGGGCACTAGTGAGCTGAGACCTGGTCACCTCTCTGCCCTCATGGGGAGAGAAGGTTGTCCCTAGAACCCCGTCACCCAGTGACCAATCTGTAGTTTCCTCTCTCCACCTCCCACATCTGACCTTCACCCACGTCTACTCCAGTGCCCTCACATCTTCTCCATGTGCCCAAAGCACCAACTACCCTCTGCTTCCTCTTCTTCCAGGCCACCCCAGCCAGTCCCTGCTCCATTCAGACCCTTCTAGTCACTCCCAGAGCCTGTCTAAACCCTTGCTGGGAGCCCAAGAGAGTCCGGCCCTGTTCCCTCCTGCCTCTCCTTGCTCTGGCCATGGCTTGTCTTAAGTTCCCAAAGCACCGGTTTCTCCTTCTGTTGGCCACCCGGCTGCTGCCTCCCCTCCTCAGGTCAGCTAGCCCTTCTTGTGGAAGGCTCCCTGGACACCTGTGTCCTCGCCTGTGCCATGAAGGTGTATGTACCTTTCCCTCTGACGTTGGGCCTGGCATCTGTCAGTGACCAGCTAGAGTGGGCTCCTTTGTGGCTCCAAGGCAAACTGATCTCAGTGCTTAATTGTGCCACCTGGCTTTGGTAGTGGCCTCCTACTAATTTAGGGTACCTGTCCCCACTTCCCTGAGCATGTTATCTACTTGCCCTAACGGGGAGAGATAGCTCTGGAATAGCCTTGGCTAATGTCTTATTTCCCAGACCTCCTAGGGCATGTCTCCAGAGGCCCTGGATGGCTCTTCCCCACCCACCCACCCCCCGGAGCTGAGGACCGAACCCAAGGGCTTGTGCTTGCTAGGCAAGCGCTCTACCACTGAGCTAAATCCCCAAGCCCCTGGATGGCTCTCTCAATGTCCTCTCTCCTCCAGGAATGGACTCCCAGTACAGGCAGATGGCCACCGTGTGTACCAGTCCCCAGACGGCACACTGTTGATTCACAACTTGCAGCCCAGGGATGAGGGCTCTTACACATGCAGTGCCTACCGCGGGAGCCAGGCTGTGAGCCGCAGCACCAAGGTGAAGGTGGCCCTACCAGGTGAGAGAGGCTTGTCCCTGGGTTCTGCCGCCCCGAGAGCCAGCTGAGCAACACAGGTCCCGGGCTTAGCAATCTCGTTCTCACCCATGCTCACTTCCTAGTTTCTGGTATTGCAATTGGGGGTAGGCCTGTAGTACCACCCCAGAGCCTCACTTTCCTGGGGCTACTCCACTACCTGAGGGCCAGGTGCTCAGGCTGGCACTGCAAATGCCCCAGAAGCCTGCCATTCAGACTTACCAGTCTCAAGAAATAAGACTGGCTGGGATAATGCTTAAGATGGATGGACCCCTACCTACAATCTGTCCCTTCTAGTCAGGGCGGCGGCGGCGGCGGCGGTGGAAGGTCCTGTGGGGCTGGGGTTCAGAGCAGTTCTTGTCTAATGTGCAAGGCCCTAGGCTCTATCCCTAGCACCCTGACAAATAAGTAAATACATATGTAAATAAAAGACCTCATTCTTAAGACAAGTCACAGGGAAGATGATTCTTTGATCAGTGTTTGCTACAGTCTCCTTTCCAAATCATGCATAGTCAAAATTTTTATATAAATGGGTCTGGGATGGAAAAGTGCCTCTCTGATCATCTAGGCATGTGACAGAGGGCAGGGTCACCCTCATCCTCTATCCATGAGACAGGTACCCAGAGGGCTTCTAGGATGTTCCCACCAGCCACACAGCAGATTTGTGGACAGCTGGCAGCCAGACACAGGTTTTATTTGACTCCTGGTTTTGTTTACTGATTTCCGTATGTAGCCAAGGCTAGCCCCGACTTCAATCTCCCTGTCTTTGCTTCCCAGGTGCCACCACGCCCGCTTTTAAGTTACATCTTAGAACTGGTGAAACCAGACTTTAAAGTTCAAAGTCACAGGAGCTTGTGTTTAAATGACAAGGCTGGAAGGTCCACTCACTCTGCACTCCATAGGTCTTAGTGTTTCAGGGAGGGACTGAGCACCAGGTCAGAGCCTCCGGCCAAGCGGCCAGTTCTTAGAGACCTGAGGCCGACCCTGGAGAAGGGTACCTGGCATGGAGGAAATGGGGCACTAACTCCCTGGTCTGCATGAACATTCGTGACAAGGAGAGTTTCGGTACCAATAGAGGAGGGTTGGGGTCAGTACTGGCTGTCTTTTTGGCTGCGAGGCTGTGTTAGGAACCGGCCAGAGGTTGAAGGTGTGTGTTGAAATGTTGCTTTGCTTTGAGGCTGACACTGACTTTGAGCTCCCTGAGCGGTGTCTGGGATCCCAGAGCCCAGGCCAGTGCTCTGCAACCCAGGAACTCAGGATAGATGGTGGCTCAGTGTGTCTGTGTGAACAATAGCACCTCGGGAAAAACACCGGATTGCAGGACTTCCACCTCTGATGTTTCCAGAAAATCCATCGCATCTACACACTAACCAAAAGAACAAGACCACGAATGCAGACTTCCTATGGTCAGGGGGCAGTCACTATGAGGACTGAGGAGTCCTAGCACTTGGGCTACAGAGGCAGGATTACCACTGGAGTCCAGTGCGAATGGCATCCCTGTGTTAAAACAACCCGAGGGGATCCGGACTTTCACGTTTGTGACCAACTATAGATGTGTTTACTGCGAGGGTGGCCGATGATAATCAGAAGCTGGTCGACAATGGAGGCTAGCGGGCTTCTGGTGACCCCGCTTATGGCCGCCGTGAGGCCTCCCTTCTCTTGTCCTCTGCTGGATGCTGCGGCCTTTCCATATTCTGGAGGCATCTCTCCAGAATTCCAGCTGTCCCCTCCCTACCTGTCTGTAGCCCTTCTATTGACCAGCCTGCAGACAGATGCCCGTTGGCTGGTGTTTTGATAATCTCGTGCTGCCCAAGTCGTGGCTTGGTGGCACTGGAATCAGAGTTGGCGTGGGGCGGTGGCTTAGGCTTCACACATGCTGGGGCAAATTCTGAGTTGTTTTGCCGATGAGGGCTGAGCAGAGAGCAGGAAATACCATAGGAAGGGAAGGTATTGGGAAGGTTGAAGGGGGTACACGGGCTATGCTTTCGGTGTACCCCTGAGAGCCACAGTTACCACCAGGGCTTTCTCAGGTGGAAACCAGGAAAGATGTGGTAGGAGACAGAGGGAAGCTGGGGTGGCTGGAGGACCCAGCAGCACCAGGGAGGATGACTTCCAGCTTCTTAGGACTGACTCTACCTGTCCCTCCTCCCAATCCGGGCCAACACACCGTCACGTGGCCCTCCCTTCAGCTCTGGACAGTAAGGGCAGGAGTTACCTCGGAAGAGCCATTTGATGGTCTGTCAGTACGTGGGAATCTGGGAAAGGTCGTGCTGGCCACAGATAAGACCCACAGGAGGACCACTGGGGAGGCCAGCAAGGGGTGGAAAGCATGTCCTTGCTGATCAGGTATGGAGCAGGTGAGTCGTGGCCGCAAGAGAGCCTGCTGCCTCAGCCTCTTCTCTCCTGCAGGATCAGCCGCTCGGTCCGGGAACCCGGGCAGCGAGTGCATCGACCAGCCGGAGCTGGCCAACTGCGCCTTGATCCTGCAGGGCCAGTTCTGTGGCAATGAATACTACTCCAGCTTCTGCTGCGCCAGCTGCTCTCGCTTCCAGCCCAATGCCCAGCCTGTCGGGCAGCAGGGATGAAGGCTGGCTGTGGCGCCAGTTCCCGACAGCTGGCTGGGGAGAAGGGATGGTAAGACATGGCTTGCAGAGGGAGTCACCTTTCAGACACCGGCCCTCTCAGAAACCCAGGGCTAAGCCCCAGCAGCTGCCAGTGCCAGCCTCCCCCTGTGGTGTCAGCAGGGGCTGTCTGATCTGACCTCAGGCTGCCGCGAAGAGGAATCTACCGACACAGAACTGCTACTTTACACCTCTCTCTCTCTCTCTCGTTTCTGCTGCGTTCAGGATCCTTCATCTGAAATGTGTGGGACCAAAGTGTTGTAAACTTTTCAATATTTGCAGACTTTACTAATTGAGCATCCCTAATCTAAAAATCAGAAATGCTCGGAAGCTTGAAACACCCAAATGCCAGGTCAGCCTTCAAACAGGAAAGTATGTTTGATTTTGAGTGAGGGATGCTCAGTTTGTACAGAGGATCCACTCAGCACAGCGCAGAGCAAGCTGGGTGGGGAGTCTGTGACAGGAGGGGGTGGTAACTGCTCAGTCACAAGTATGCTGTGCTAGAACCCGGTCACTGGTCAGGTGGTGAGCTGTCAATCAGGCCTTTTCAGCTTCCTAGGTAGTGGCACAGGTGGCATCAACCCCCTCACTGTATGGAGCTCACACGGATGCTCGGGAACGTTCTCAGCAGGGTAGACACGACCAGCAGGCTCAGTGTAGGGTTGTGGGACGAGGAAGGCAGACAGCACTGTAATCTGAGTGTGAAGGAACTGGGAAGAACTTCACTGCAGAGATGGGCCTTGAAGCCTCGGGGCTGCCCCACAAAGAGGGCTGGGAAGGTTCACATGCTTCCTCTCCCTTTACACAGTTCACTGGCCTGCTCTGAGCAGCCAAGAGGAGCCATGGTTCCTTAAGCGGGAATCTGTGGATCAGAATATTTGTTGCTAGAGAAAAATCAGAACTATGCTGAAAGCAGCAGCTGAGGGCTGGTGGGATGGCTCAGTGGTCAAGTACGCACTGCCAAGCCTGACGACCGCAGTTTGTTCCCTGGAACCTACTGGTGGAAGGCAGAACCGACTCAGCCAAGTTCTTCTCTGATTGCTAGGTGCGCACATGCGCGCTCACCCACACGTGTGCATGCGTACGTGCGTGTGCGTGTGTGTACACACACACACACAAAACTGGGAATGGTGGTGTGTGCATGCCTGTAATCCCAATGCTTGAGGGGCTGAAGCAGAATGCCCCAAGTGTAAGCCAGCCTGGCCACAGAGTGAAATCCTGTCTCAAAGTAAACACCCCCCCCCCAAAAAAAAAATCCATAAAACCCAGTATTAGCAGGATGAGGGGGTGAAAAGTCACAATTGGGGAAGTGGTTTTAGTAGTCTGAGATGTAGGAAGGGATCCTTCATCTTTTAGAACCTCTGATTTCTTAATAACAACACTCAAGGAAGAGGCCTGCAAGAATGAGCTTCCAAGGCTTTCCCATTTCCACTCTCGATTCTCCTACAAGTCTATCTAGTATCAAAGGTAACCATGGGACCAAAGCTCCGACACCGGCTGGAAAACAAAGCTTCATGTATAAGTGATGTCTCAGGCCATCTAGCTCAACAAAGAGAGAGGCAGAGCCTGCCTCTTTAAGAGATGAGGAACATCCGGGTGTCAGCTGTTTGCAGGTACAAGCAGGGGGCTGAGAAGTGAGTGGTAAACCATGCTAGTTCAGGGGTGCTTAACCTGAACTACAGAGCTTAACAAACCACCGACAATCTCCTCAAGATCTAAAGTACAACTTGGTGTTCTCCCCACTGAAATCCTGATTTATTGGCCTGGTGAATAGGCTGGGTATTATAGGTGTTTTGTGTGTGTGTGGTGTGAGCGCTGGGGGATCTTCTTTTTTTTTTTTTTTTTTCTCGAGACAGGGCTTCTCCATGTTGTTTTGGTGCCTGTCCTGGAACTCGCTCTGTAGACCAGGCTGGCCTCGAACTCACAGAGATCCACCTGCCTCTGCCTCCCTGGGAGGTCTTAAAGCATGCTGAACACACATTCCTCTGAGCTACACCTCAGGGATTCCAATAGACAGCTAAGGCTGAGAAGCAGTGCTCTGTCAGGTATTAATGGTGCACGCTTTTAACCCCAGTACTGGAGAGGCAAAGGTAGGTGGATCTGTGCGTTCGAAGCCAGCCAGAGCTACACAGTGAGACCCTGTCTCTACACACACAGCACCACTCCACCCCTGGGGCTAAGAGTCTCCGGCTTCTGGGTGTAGTCCCAACTGGTGCTACAGATCAGACTCTGAGCATCACAGTGACAGGTGCACCCATGACCTTTAAGGATATACCAGTCCCAAACTAGAAATGGGCAGTAGAGAGAAATAAAAAAACACAACTGTAAACTCATTTGCAAATAAGAACAGCCCCTCCTGGGCAAAAGCTTCTACCACGAACATTTATTTTTGTTAAAGCAGATTATAAATTCTCATCAGTACAAATATATATATATATATGTATATATAACTTACATTTGATTGTAAGGCCAACGTTCAAAAGTAAAAATGAGCTGGGGTCTCCCGGTGTTACCCGAGGTCAAGTAGCTGCAACTGGCATGGGATGTTCTGTTCATGACGGGAAGAAGGGGACACACAGAGCAGATACATCCAGGATCCTCGTCCTACAAAACTCACGGGAACAGAACGTCAAGGGGAACCCACTCAGACCCACACTGCAAACCAACACAACAGCCTGCGTTCCCTTTCTGGATAAGATGATGTCACTGTCACCTTGATGATAAAGGATTAACAGGAGGCAACTGCAACAATAAAGATAATACACATTCTCTAGAGTGGAGATTGATTCCATTAAAATAATGACATTAGAATTTCACCATAGGTTTAAAACAGGACAACACTGCTTTCGATTTATTTAAAACTACAACCTAGTGACTGTACTGGTCATCAGTATGATTGTTGTTGCAATGCATTAGTTACGATGAATGATCACAGACAAGCCAGGGCTCCTGCCTACATTTCCCAACCCTCCCTCTTTACTTCAATAGGCATCAATGATAAATCAATCTTATGTACAATTTCTTACAACTAACCCGCTCACTTTTGGCAAGATTACTTACAACTCATACAACTTTTTAATATTGAGAACTATTTAAAATATTCTAGGTGCATAAAAATAAAGATTTGGCTTTTTTGATATATATATATATATATTTATAATATTTATCCTGTTACTCAAAATGGAAGCTCAGCTTTATCCCCAGTACATAGCTCTGCTGGGCAGCTGCCGCTGTGCCCTCCTGTGAACCCTGCAGGCCATGGCCTGCCTTGCTTCCCAGCCTGCACAAGCCACACTGTTCTCTACAGAGCTAAGACAGGCCATCCTGGGAGGAATGGGTGACTGGCTTGAAAAATAAAGGGAGATTGTTTTGCTTACTGTTACGTTTTATATTCCAGTATATGTGCTTTGAATACAGATTCCTCTTCAGATACTTGGGCCTCTCTATTGCCAGAGACTTGGAAGGGCAACATTTCCTTGATTTCTCTAGCTTAGCTGCAGGGCGGTCCTCTCCAGGAGTGCTTTCCTCACCCTGTGGACACCGCCCTCACTGGACTCTGTGCTTGGACTTGCTCCTTGGGACTTAGGGATTAGTGAAGTGTACTCATCAGGAAGGCACAGTCCCCTTCGCTCCTCTGCCCCCTGTCCTTGCCTAAGTACAGAAAAGACACGTCACAGAGATTGTCTAAAGTTCTATTTCAAACGTCTTCTGTAGGTCGCTGGAGAAAGGGTTGGTAGGGGAGGGGTTAGTGCGCTGCTTGGACTTGCTTTCTAGTGCGGCCCACTGGGCTTCGAAAGGATCCACGGGGCAGGCGCCCGCAGGGACCTCTGCGTGCCTGCTTCCTGAGGCCAGCCTGCCATCGTCGACGCCGTTGAAAGCTGCAGAACCATTGAGGTGCTGAGCAGGAGGCTTAAAGAAGGGGCTGGTGGTAGCACTGCTCGTCTCATACTGAGGGAATGTCTGCTGCCTGGCCAGGCTTGGGGACTGGTGGGGATGAGTGGCCTGAGGATGGCCTGCAGTGCCAAACACGTTAGCTACCATCTGGGACGGGGTGATGCCCACTACAGGCACGTTAGAGGCTGCATAGGGCATCCCATTGGCCACAGGGTAGGACTGGGCAGGGACAAAGGCCGGCTGCAGGGGTGGGACCACACCGACGGGCACAGGCTGAGAGGCGAGGAATGCATTTCCTTGGAAAGGTGCTGCTGGTGGGGCCGTGGCGGCAGGTGGAGGAGGCTGCAGAGCTGGCTGCAGAGCGGCCGCTGAGGGCTGGGGCTGGGGCTGCTGGACCCGGACACTCTTTGAGACTTCTTCTAACCAGCGGTCAGCCTCAGAGGGAGTTCGTCTATGACCAGCCTGGAAGAGACCTGGAGAGGCAGCACCTGAAGACTGACCCCACTCAGTCCCTAGAACACAAGGTGGAGAGAGGGAGGGATGAAGAATTAGAGGCCGTTCTCACTTGGAAACCTCGATTATGGGAATGATCCTAAAATGTGGACCGTGCCCCCATGATGGGACACGGGGTTCTGATAGAGGCACTGAGGTGTCGCCAGCCAAGGAGCTATTTTGGGGGGACAAGCAGAACCTGTCAGAATATGCGATTATATTCAGGCATACTGAGGCTGTTCAGCTATGGCTCAAACGCCCTGAACCAAGGCGAGTGACTAGTGTCAAAAACCTATCATGTTGCCATGGTGCACCCACAGGAGAGAAACTGGCTTATAATACTCCGGTGGGTCAAAGAGATGGGCACAGTGATGCACACCTGCATTCCCAGAACAATGAGTCTGAGGCGTGGACCAAGAGTTTAGGGATACATAGCAAGACTCTTGTCTCAAAACCCCAGAAACACGAATAATTAAAAAGAAAAAACACATAAAGCCAGGACTGGTAGTGCACATCTTTAATCCCAGCACTCAGGAGGCAGAGGCAGGCAGGTCTCTGAGTTCGAAGCCAGCCTGGTCTACAGAGTGAGTTCTAGCCAGTTATATAGTGAGAACCTGCCTCAAAACACCCCAGAAAAGCTAGTAAATATATGTGGGTGTGCGCTCTTTGTGGCACTTTTGGTAGGCTACCTTTATCTACAGACAGCTGTGTGTGCTGCTAAATCCAGTGATAAGGTTCTCTGGTGGTGGCTCATTAAACCCTACGGTAGCCAGGTTCTATAGTCCTGAGAACCTCCCATCTAGTCCTTTTGTTCCCAGCTTTAGAGCCTTTTTGCACAGCCTCTTCTGTCTGGGAGGGAATGTATTTTTATAGTCTTCACTCAGGGAACTGGCCGATTTTAGACCCTGCTCCCAGAATCCACTTCACATCGGTGGCCACCTTACCCGGACGTATGGCTGCACTTTCCTTGTTAGCAGCATCAGGGGCATGGGCCCAAGGGTTGGTTTCACGCACAGGCATGGCTGCGGGTGCTAGAGCAGTATTGGCTGGCTTAGCAGTAAGCACAGGGAAGGCTGGGTCAGTGCCATTAGCTACAATGGGAGCAGACAACATGGAGGGAGTTAATGCATGCAGGGGTCCAAGCTACCCCACGCAGGTGGGTCAGTCAGGCAGTGCCCAACACTGGTGGGGCAGACAAGGCAGAGCAGCTGATGCTGGGATGACCATGCTACCCTACAGCGGGGACACACACCTTTGACAAAGAAGACAGTGTATCAAAAGACTGTTCAATGAAAACATGTATATGAGAGGAGAGATGAAGCCTAATACAATTTCAAATTAAGTTGAACAAGACTATTCATGTAACTAGGCTTTGGATTAATTAAGTAGATAAAGCACATTTCATTCTTTACTTTTCCAAAAGATCAAATCAGGCCAACAGTGTTTTATATAATTACCAAATTTAATTCTCTCAAAAGTCCCATAATTCTGGAATTGGGAAATAAGTTCCCAGATGTTCTACAGATGCCTAAAACCCTACATAATACTGTTTTTATCTATACCTTTGTACCTGGGATAAAGTTTAATTTGTAAGCTAGACACACTGAGGGGTTAATAACAATTATTGTAAGAACATATTGTAATAAATTTACTTAAAACTTATGAATTCTTTATTCCTGGAATTTTCTATTTAATATTTTGAGATAGTAGTTAAAACCACAGGCAACTGAAACGTCAAAAATACAGACCATGAGTAAGGGGTGTACTACAGTATGTCTACACAACAGATGAGAGATCAAATGGTGTGTGTTTTCATTTATGTTAATACATTTGTCATTTACTACAAAATTAAGTTTATATCTTTAAGTCTTTCCCCCCATGTAGTATTTCTTTTTTTTTTCTTTTTCTTCTTTTTCGAGACAGGGTTTCTCTGTGTAGTTTTGGTGCCTGTCCTGGATCTCCCTCTGTAGACCAGACTGGCCTCAAACACAGAGATCCGCCTGCCTCTGCTTCCCCAGTGCTGGGATTAAAGGCGTGCGCCACCACTGCCCGGCCGCCCCATGTAATATTTATTATAACCCAAATGCTGATCTTTCTTCCCTCATTTCCTTTACTCAAAGCTCCTAACCCTTGTTTCTTTTACTCCTTCATCAGTTCCTAGTCTGTGTTCCAGTTCTCCATCATACGCAGCATGGAGCACACAAGTGCCTTCCCCTGCCCTATGACAAATTCTGCTTCTTTAGAACTGGACAACCATACTTAGGGTTATAGTATTTTTTACCTGGGGCTGAACAACAACAACAACAACAACAACAAAACCCACCTTAGCCATAGACTGGAAGCCCTTTAAAGACAAAGGATTATGTTCTGTTCAGGTTTTAGACCCAGTACCCGTAAGCAGACAGGGCCAGTGGGATGTGATTGGTTCTGGGAAGATCTGAGTTTAAATCTCAGCCGTACAGTTTGGAGAACCCACTTAGCCTCTTGGAGCCTCGTTTTTCTTTTCTTTCTTTTTTTGACACAGGGTTCCTTCATGTAGTCCTGGCTGTCCTAGAACTCACTTTGTAGACCAGTGGTCAGAGATCCACCTGCCTCTGCCTCCTGAGTGCTGGGATGAAAGGCGTGTGCTATCACCACCCAGCCATTGTTGTTATTTGTAATGCCTACCTCGAAGAGCTGTTTGGGGCTTAAATGATAACGTGTGAGGATTCTCCACTGTGGCAGGCACTGGTGATTGCTCAACAGACCAAGCTTACTTTTTCTAGTACTACAAGTATCTGTCAGATGGAAAGAAAATCTATGATCGAAAGCACACACGATTATAGGCATTTGCTTCAAAAGAGACAGAGATCAAGACCTAGACCCAAACAAAGGCGTATGGCAGCTTCTTGCAGGGCAAGGGCATTGTCCTGCAGGGCAGCCTTTCTCTGCCATCACTGGAGCTTTACTTCAGAAGTCACAGATTTAAGTTCACATACATTCTTTGTTGACCTATGAGTGAGAACTTTGTTTAGCATCGGGGGAGGGGGGGCTCTAACCTTGCAGTATAACTAACTCTGTTGTCACAAAGGCCAATTTAGGATACTTGTTACAGACCTAAAAAAGAGAAGGCAGGTCCAGGTCTCCTCAACTTTAACACCACTGACATTTTAGAATGGGTAATTCTTTTGCTGTGGTGCTGTCCTGCATTATGAAGAATGTTTGGTAGGATTTCTGATAAATCTGTAATTAACATTCCCTCCCAAAATGTCTCCATACAATGAATGCCAAATTTTCCCTGCGGGGCACAGTC